CCCCAAAACCCCAAAACCCCAAAACCCCAAAACCCCACTAGCTATAATAAGGGTTGATTCTAAGTGATTATTATGGGATTTCTCCTCGAGCAAGCATTCTTTTGTACTCAATTTGATCTTCCTTCTGCCCGATCTTTTTCGATATGAACTCTTCTTTCTCAATTTGGTCGTAGCCTGCTTCCATGCACATGTCATCTTCATCATCACTGTAATAAGCGTCGTGTTTGTTGTGTCCATAGAGTTTATTTGATTACATTACTGGCCATGTTTGATTCTGTAGGGTTAACAAATATAACTAAAATACCATCTAAGTTATCTCTGACGATGAATCCATCAAGGTCATCATCTTCCTCAATTATTTTCCTTCTTTTTGACTGAGTGGAGCTCAAGTCTGAGGGTCTTTTACTAGGCTGTTGAATTCTTTCTCGTTCTTCAAACTTCTTCCTATGATAATCTGCCCCATGCTCAAAATTTCAGACTGATCAAAAGTATGTCACCTCCTTCTTGATAGGCTTCTTGGATTCCTCTCTAGTCGAAACTCTTGGTTTCATCTCTTTTGAAGGGCGAGGTCTGGAGATCTCCTCTTCAGAAAGCTTTCTTTTCTTCAGCTACAGAGATTTATTGAGAGACTTACCATTTCATTTTTCCTCCTCAGAATTTCGGCTTGTCTGATCAGCTGAGCTTTTGATAAATTTCGATCTGAAATCATTGTGTTACTAGGTCGAGATTTAGCCTTCTCCTTTATCTCTCTTGGCTTAGGTTTTTCTTGTCTTTTCAGAGAAATTCTGTTAATCTCGGAGTCCAATTCTGTATTTGAATGGATCCCGAGAGCTCTCTCTTGAGCTTTAGCTTTCCTGAGAGCTTTGAGTTTTTGAATCCTCATTCGTTCTTCAAGTCTACAGAAATAAGTCAGTAATTAGGAACAGAAAAAGAATACTCGTACCTGCTTTCCTCGGTATCTCTTTTAGGCTCAGGTAGACGTACTTCCTTTTGATTATTTTTGTCTAGGATTAAGCGATAAATATGCAAATTTCACCAGAAAGCTTACCTCTAGGTGCAGATTTAGGAGCGTCCTTGGTACTGTTCTTAGCAGTAAGAGGTTTGGGTTTATTTTTAGCCTGAAGCTTTTCAAAGACTTCCTTTCTCTTCTGCTCTTGTAATTTCTTCTCCAACAGCTGTTTCCTCTTCTCTTCCTTTTTCTTCTTGATTAAGGCCTCTTTTTTATCCTGGGTGGTAACTTCCGGCTTCTAATAAAATTTGTCAGAATTTTAGAGATTTTTGAACAGATAAAATTTCTGGAACATTTCTGAGAAAAGGAGCATTTATGTAGAGTTTTGAAAAGATTTTGACAACAGGACTTTGAAGCCTCTTCCAAGCCGAAATCAGTAAAGATCTAGGGTTTGGACCAAAACCTGAGATCCTTACATATGAGTTCGAGTAAGAGGAAGCTAAAGAATGAGGAAAAGAGTTTATTGAGAACTTACAGCCCGGTTTTTCATCATCATTTGCTTAAAACTGTCCATTTTCTAATATTTTTATTATATAATGGCTTGTTTAAATATTTGGCAGCAGGGAGGGGTTTTGGGGTTTTGGGGTTTTGGGGTTTTGGGG